CATTATATTATGTCCCACATCCCTTGCCCAATCAATCATGACCGATTTAACTTGTTCATCCTTTGCATGCCACTCCAACAACAAACTGTACATTTTAGACATATTCTTATCATTAGTATCTAACAACTCCGTTTCCAATTTGGTTTTTTCTGTTGCAAAACCATTTCTCTTATCCATCTTATATAATTTGTTAATTTGATAATATTGCAACCAATTCACTTTATCTTTAATTTGTTCAAATGGTTTTAATTTTCAAACCTTCCTGATTTTCTAACAACAAATCTGAATACCTCAACCATTTGTTTTCCATATTTAACTTTTTGGGGGCCTGTGCTTCCATTGGTGAAATCCATTTTGGTGTTTTTCTTACTAAGAGATCTTTGTATCTAGTCCATACATTGTATAATGCCTTTCTAATTACATGATTCTTAAAACCCCTGTGGGCCTTCACCTTGTCATACCATAGATATGCATGCCATCCAAATCGATTATCCAGTCCCTCCAAGTCTAACACATCATCATTCTCTAATTGAATCCAATCCTTGATCCAGCAGAATGCAGCAGCTTCAAAATATATCTTCAAATCTGGCAGGGAAAAGCCCCCTCTTTCTTTTATATCTGTAAGTAATTTATATTTAATTCTAGGTTTTTTCCCCTGCCAGATAAATTTAGACAATACCTTCTGCCATTCTTTAAAACATTTGACATTATCGATGATTGGTAAAACTTGAAATAAGAACAACATCTTTGGCAATACATTCATCTTAACCACCAATATTCGGCCCATCAATGAGAGTTTTAGATTTGACCATACTTCAAGATCTCTCTTAATTTCATTCCATAATTTTTCATAGTTATCTTTGTAAAGATTCAAATTCTTTACCGATAAATTCACACCCAAATATTTAACTTTTTCCACCGAAACAAGGCCTGTCCTTTCAAAAAGGTTTTTTCTTTCCTCATTATCTAACTTTTTTCTAACACTTTGGTTTTGCTCTTGTTTAATTTAAATCCTGCTACCTGCCCAAACTCTTGAATCAGCTCCAGTGCTTTCACTGCACTGGTTTCTGGATCTTGTAATGTTAAAACCAAATCATCAGCAAAGGCTTTTAATTTAAATTGCTTGGATCCTACTACAATGCCTTTAACCTCCTCCTCTTTCCTCAACATGTTTAACGAAACCTCCAGAACAGAAATAAATAGCAGAGGGGAAAGCAGGCACCCTTGCCTGGTTCCTTTCTCAATTCTGATTTCCTCTAAGACCACATTATTAACTATGATTTTTGCTTTTTGTTCAAAATAGATCGCATTAATACCATTTAAAAATTCCTGGCCAACCTCAATTCTTTCTAGATTTTTCATCATAAATAACCAAGAAACATTATCAAAGGCCTTTTCAGCATTAATAAACATTAACATTGCTTTACAATTTCTTTTCGCTTCCAACCTTTCTATTATATCAATTATATTTCTAATGTTGTCTTTCATATTTCTCCCAGGCAGAAATCCTGCCTGGTCCTTATGTATATAATTTGATAGAACCTTTTTTAATCTATTGGCCAAAAATGTTTGCGAAGATTTTATAATCCACATTAAGTAATGAGATTGATCTATAATTTTTTACATCGGATCTATCTTGATCTGTTTTTGGAATCAGAGTAATAAATGCATCTTTCCAGGTTTCGGGAGCTTTGTCCCCTCTTAAAATCTTATTACACACATCTGCCAACGGTTGAATTAGCCAATCTTTCAATATTTTATAATATTTTGCAGAAAGACCATCCGGTCCCGGGGCTTTGCCTGACTGCATTTTATTTATTGCCATCTCAACCTCTTGTCTTGTAATCATGCCATTTAGTAGGAACCTTTTATCCTCAGGAATTTTCTGAATTTCATTCGCCACAAGAAATTGCTCCATTTTATCCTTATCTTCTTTACCTTTTTTATACAGCTGTTTACAGTATTTCTGAAAACATTTTCTTATATCTGCAGGGTTTTCCATAGATTTTCCATCAGATACAATGTTTGTAATAGTACTTTGCTTCTGTCTCTTTTTTTAATTGCCAAGCCAACAATTTCCCACATTTATTTGCAGATTCAAAATTTCTCTGTTTCATCATTTTAATTTTCCATTCTATTTCCTGGTTAATAATTTGAGAAAATTGAATCTGCAATGCTTTAATTTCTTTTGGAATCTGTTGACTCTTTGGCATTAATCTTAAACTTTTCTCTTTGTCTTTTATTTGAGACAGAATTTTCTCTTTTTTCTCATTCTGTATCTTTTTCCTTATCGAGTTCTGTTGTATGAGGAAACCTCTCATTACTGCCTTACTTGCATCCCAAGTGACTCTTGTTTCAACCTCTGTGTTCATATTTAGTTCAAAATAGTCGTTTAGAGTCTTTTGGGCCTTACTAATCATCTGTTCATTCCTCAACAACTCATCATTCATCCTCCATCTAAAGGAACCCTGCAGGTATAATTTCATCAGTGGTTTAACCCACAGTGCCACCCGCGTCCCATATAGGATGGTACCTTATATCAATCCAGGCATTGCTCCATCTGGCTCAGTATTATCTACACTTACTGGCAGTGGTTTTTCAGGGTTTTGGGCAGCAGCTTTCCCCAGCCGTCCCTGGAGACAACAGGGATTGAGCTCAGGACCTTCTACAAGCAAAGCAGGTGTTCTACCACTGAGCTATGGTCATTCTCCTCAAGTTCTTAATATGCTTATCAAACCCAGAATCTATGGAATGCAAGTATGGCTCATAAGCAGCAGTCAAAGTAGATAATGCTTAATTGAATGGATGAGTTTCAACCCTGGTCGAGGATATCTTCCCATGTCTCTGCTTTCAGGCAAAAGGCCTTAGATTAAACCCAATATATTTCCAGTTAAAAGGGTAATGTAACAGGCAATGGGGAAAGGGGGCTTTCTCTTTGCTCATTACCTTGGAATGCCACTGCCCGCCAAGAGAATGAAATACTGGGCAGAGGGGCAAACAGCCAGACCTGTTAGCAGGGTTGGCTCCCTAGAACATCAGAAATACCTTCTGGATCACATCAGTGGCCCATCTGGTGCAGCATCCTTTTCTCACCATGGCCAGCTGGATATCCCAAATAGAAAGGATCTGAGCACAGTGTGGGATCCTACTTTTAGGATCCCCATAAGTTGGATCTGAGCACAGTAGCACTCTTCCTCTTGCAATTCCCATCAAATGGTGTTTGGAAGCTTTATGCCTCCAGCCGTGGAGATAGAACAGAGCCCAGAGGCTGTTTCCAGAATGTCATTTAACAGAACCCACACGATTTGCATCTTGCTTGGATGTCAAAGCACCTGAAGTGGTTCCAACTCAGTGGGTTTCGTCTGCAGACGAGGGTGAACTGGGGGGGGGGGGGCGTGTCATGTCTGAGGGAGCTGAGGGAGAAGCAGGGGAACTTAAGAGCAGCGTGAGCTTATATTTTAATGGGCTTCGATGAGAGTTTTAAACATTTACAAACGCTTTTAGCAGTTGGCCCTCCCTGCAGAGCCCTGCCTGGACAAGAAACTTAAAATACGTTGATGTTGGCTTCAGTTTTGCAAAAGAAGGCATAAGCGTCTAACTCTGGTGGTCTGGCATTAGTGGCTCTTTTTCTTTCCAGTGTATTTTAAAAGCTTGACTTGACATTTGCCTGTGATTTGCCTTCCAAGGGGGCCTTCAGAAGCAATCAATGACACCTCATATAAGGAAACTGCCTTATATTGAGTGAGACCATTATTTTGCATTGCCATTTTCTGTTTTTATGTTGTGAACTGCCCTGTGATCTTCGGATTAAGGAAGGTATACGAATTTAAATAAATAAATGTGTTGATTGGCTGCAGGTCTCCAGGGTTTCAGCCCCAGCCCCACCTGAAGCTGCCAGGGATTGAACCTGGAGTGTTAGAGACGTTCAGTCATAATCCCAGCATCTGGATGATCACAGGTTCTCCATCCCTCCTTTAGATGATGTACATTCATTGTTAGATTTATTAATTTCTAAGCTACCCTTCAGTATTGCTTCTCACACAGCAACTAAGGTGTTGGTAAAATGATTTTGAAACTGAATTAAACATGGTTGTTGTGTTTTTTTTAAAATGTCAGGGCAGAGGAAAGCATAAAATTATAGCAGCCAAATGTAATATTTGTTGTCGTTTAGTCGTGTCTGACTCTTCGTGACCCCATGGACCAGAGCACACCAGGCACTCCTGTCTTCCACTGCCTCCCGCAGTTTGGTCAAACTCATGCTGGTAGCTTCGAGATCACTGTCCAACCATCTCATCCTCTGTCATCCCCTTCTCCTTGTGCTCTCAGTCTTTCCCAAAATCAGGGTCTTTTCCAGGGAGGCTTCTCTTCTCATGAGGTGGCCAAAGTATTGGAGCCTCAGCTTCAGGATCTGTCCTTCCAGTGAGCACTCAGGGCTGATTTCCTTCAGAATGGATAGGTTTGATCTTCTTGTAGTCCATGGGACTAAGAGATTAAGAAGGTCTGTTTAAAAAAGCTTGGTCAAATGAGGAGTCGTTTGCCTAATTTCAGCAAGAAATGACAGTAGGCAACAAGTGAGCACAGGACATTAAAACTGAGAAGAACAGGCAGGTCGAAAACGTAGGTAAACATGAGGATCAGGAACTTGCTATGAATGAGGCAAGCAATGGAAAAACCAGTGTAATTTTTTAAAAGAGAGGCGTTAGAAAGGGTGGAGACTGCTTCAGAATAGATTGGGATGTCAGCTTCCTGTGAGTAGATTTTATTCTTTGTTACTGGGAGGAAGTGGTGGCTTTCTCCTGAGTGTTTTTGCTCAGTCCTGAGAGGATGTTTCTGTCTCTTACCTGACCCCCATCTCTTTTGTGCCATTTTAATGCTGGCGGGGATGGAGGTGGGAGATTCTGGCTTTCCTGCATGTTCATGAGAAACGATAGTAACTGGCAGTGGCTCCTATTAATGAGAGCCTTCCTCTACCTCCCACCTCTCAGCATTACAGATTCTCCTGAAGTCTTAGTAATTACTGTTAATATCGTTCAGTGGCAACTTTTCACAGGAGCACCGTTGAATGGCTTAGTGCCTGCACACCGCACATGCAAATCAGCTCCTGTGCGCACCTAGTGATTTTGTATCCTCACTTCCGTCATGCCGTTTGCCGCAAGTGGAGTTGTAAGCATGTCATGCATCGCCTGTGCGTTCAGCAAGTGTGTCAAAACACAACTTCAATTAATTTGCTCTAATTATGGCTCCAGAGAGAGACTAGGGGCTGTATTGTTCCTCATTAAAAGACATTCTCCCTCCCCTCCCCCCTTCTTTCTTCCTCATCCGCAGTCTCCCACCGTCGCTTGCTCTTGTGTATCCCATATGGGGAGGATTTCTGAGCAAGAACACTGACTTGCATTTTAGGGACTGGGTAGAGAAGGATTTGGTCTTTGAAACTGCCCATCCACAACTGCCCATTCAAGTGTTGCATCCAGTTAGTGGAGGGAGCAGGAATACTGGGGTGGCCTTAAAATATCTATGGGGGAACTTCCAGCCCATGGGCCTAGTCTGGTGGGATATAAATCAAATATATCTGTATAGAAATGAAACTGTTGGTACCAGGGGAACCTCTCTTAGGAAGCGTTTTGGAGGTGGGAGGATAGCACAGCCTGACCCCACCTCTGATGTCAGAGGGGGAGTTGACTTGATGGTCTGAGAGAGCGGGTAGGGAGACAGAGGGTAGGGAGAGCGGGTAGGGAGACTCTACAACTCCCAGCAACTCCTCAGCCAGCATGGCTAAGGGATGACGAGAGTTGTCATCAGGCAACATCTGCAGGGCTACAGGATTCCTTGTTCCTGATTGAGTGCTTTAAGAGTCAGTGTTTTGTTATTATTATTATTATTATTTTATAACATGATGAAATACTGTTCCAGGCAGCCCTAGGATGATTTGCTGGAGAAATGTTCTAAACTTATTTTAAGATGATGATGATGATGATGATGATGATGATGATGATTTTTTAAAAACCCTGGAACTGATTTTAGATGTTTTTAATTGGAATTGTTTTTAGAATTTTTAAATCTGTGTTAGAATGTCTGCTGTTTGTTTCATTCAAACAATACATCTGTTTTGCCACCCCGGGGGTCCTTTGGGAGGGTGCGTGGGTTAGAAATTCAATAAATAATAAATTATTTAATTTTTACGTTGGGCTTGCACTTGCTTATTGATTGATTGATTGATTGCCTGCCCTTCACTCCAAGGTCCCAGGGCTGCTTACAGTAGTTAAAGCACAGTATTGAAAGCAGTTTAAAACAACTTACAAACAGAAAAATAAAGAGTCCTAAACAGATACACCTAAAGGGTCAAAAGCCAGAGTGTATATTATTTTTTTAAGGGCCCATCTTATTTTTGTGATGGCAGCCAGTGATGAGCTTTCAATCCACGTGATGACACTGTGCCCATTAAAATCCTGGTTAAGTGATCATGCTAACAGTAGCAGGAATGGTTGAAAATGAAAAGGACCCCCACAGTACCAAATCAAGTTTCTCTTTCTCTCCCCCCACTCCGTCTGTGTGTCCGTCTTCATTTGAGTGTTCCACTTCTTCGTATAAGATCAGAGCCCCACCACCACCACGCCCAATGCATTTCTAATAAGCCAACTTCAATGATTACTTCTCTTCTGTTTTTTATTTTTGCTAAATGCCTTCGCAGCCGCATCGGAATTAGCCCTGCGGTTTTGAACAGGCTCAGTGCAGCTTTTTGGCAGCTTCGATCAAAGGGATTTGGGGGTTTGAGTTGCGCCTGTTCTCTCCCTCCTCACGCACACCAGCCCCCCCCCCCCAATCTGCAATAATTTGATGAAGAACTTCGCCCTAATTAAATATTCAAATGCAGGGCCCGCGTCAATATGGCTTCCCGTTGGCTCGGAATGATGATTAATTGTATTCAAAACTCCGGCGGCCGCTGTTCATTTCAACTCTTCCATTGTTTCCAGATTGTTCCTCTCTCTGGCTTGCTGTTTCTCTCCTCCGCTCCACACCTCCATTCTCTCTCTCTCTCTCTCTCTCTCTCTCCCCCCCAACCTGCTTTTGTTCGGGTTGGGTGTGTGCGTGTCTGTGTTTCGGGATTGAAACTAGTAATTGATTTGCCATATGGTGCCAAGCTGCTCACATTTAACAATATGTGTTTAGGAACTTGGGGACTTTTATAAATTGGGCTGTTGTTGGTTTCTCGTGTGTGTGTGTAAGTGTAAGAGAGAGAGAGAGAAAGAGAATGTTCCACATCTAATTTCCTGTCTGTAGAATAAAATGACAAGCAGTTTTAAAGGCATAAGGAAAACACATTTCTGCTGTTGGCTTGCAGGGATAAATAAGTTTATATCCATCCTGGCCAACCAGCAACGCTTACTTAAAATAAGGTCCCGTCTGTACTATACGTTTAAAGCAGTACCCTATCCTTATAAACATTCATGGCTCTCCCCTCCAAAGAATCCTGGGAACGGTAGTTTATTAAAGGATGCTGAAAGCTGTTAGGAGCCCACCGTATTTCCCTCCCAGAGCTACAATTCCCAGAGTCCCCTGGGAAGAGGGATTGACTGTTAAACCACTCTGGGAATTGTAGCTCTGTGAAAGGAATAGGGTTCAGTTAAACATCAATACAGCATCATTGGCTGGTTGAAAAAGAAAACAAAAAACATGCTGCAAACACCTATCGAAGCAATACAGTTTTCAGAAGACATCTAAAAGAAGACAGGGACAATTCCTTCCTAATCTCTACTGGCAGGGAATTCCACAAGGAACCAGCCTGCCCCACTTAAGGCTCAGTTCCTAGTGAAGACCTGCGGAACCTCAGGAGTATGTAGAACCACCAAAACCATCAGATAATCCTGTTGATTGAGACGGAACATAAAGAATCGGACCAGAAATGTTTAGGGCTTTCTGAATGCAGTCTGCTCGCAGCTCATGTACATTTAACTTGGGCGAATTCAGCTTTATGTGCTTGTTTGAAAAAAGGGGTAGGAAAGTGAGCAATCCAACCTGCCATTACACTCACCATGGGGAGAGCATTTGGAGATGCAGGGAAGAGTGTTCAGCAGGCTTGGGAGACTCTGTGTCCCCTTGGGAAAACACTTGGAGGTGAGGGGAAAGTGTGTTTTGACCGTATGCAATTTGACTTGCATCCTGTCCCTGGAATGTAGCCCCCATGTAAGTTGAGAGTCGACAGTTCCTTGACCCTGGCCCCAAAGGAAATCAGCAAAGTATTCAAAAGTTTGGGTGTCGCCACCAAAAAACCTGTTTGCCCTACCACCCACCTGTTGACCTCCTAAGAGCAACAAGACCTTTGGAAGCCAATCTCAAGACTTAGACAGGTCATGCTTGGTTCTAGGACTCCTATTGCTGGCAACCTTGATCTTGTAACAACTTGTTTTGTTTTTCCTTGCTAGGCATATATCTCTGACACTTCCGGCCAGTTTTCGAGGGAAAGGGCATGGCACTCGACCAGACTTTGAGTACCAGCACTCCAATTTATATGCCATATCAGGTAAGACAAAGTGTTAGTTACTCGTTTTTTTTATAAAAAAAAACATGCTAGATAACTCAGAGCCATCTTTGACTGCCCAGGCAACTCAAACAGTCACCTGGTAGAGTCACTCTACCTTTATAGGAGCATGACGAAGCTGCAGAAGATGGGGTGTCATGTTCAGATGTTGTTCTCACACGTCTTAAAAGGATCCTCCATGTTGCTAGCAGAAGCTTCAAGTTATCCGCAGAAGCAGGTGGTCTGATTGGGTGCTGGATGCAGGGCTCAGACATGGTTCTTATAAGTCTTAAAAGGAACTGCCCTGTGATCAGAAGCCTCAGTTGCCTGTAGCAGCCATTGGTTCAGTTGGGTGCTACAGTCCGTGGAAAAGTCCCATTCCAGCCTCATCTCTCTCTGTTGCTGTCAGCTGCCCACTAGTCCTTCCCACTGATGGGCCCCAGCAACTCGTGTTTAGAGCTGTACCAGCTGGAAATCCATAGATTTCATATAGCAGTCATGACTAGGCGCTGTTTTTAGACTTTCTACTATGGATTTGTCTAATCTGCTAATTGGCTATGCCGGGGCCGGGGAACCTTAGGCCCAGGGGCCAAATCCAGCCCTCCAGGATTCTCTGGCTCTCTGGACTCCTCCCAGGCAACACACCTCACTGGCCCTTCTCAGCCCTTGTCCTTGAGTGCTTTTGTCCAGCTGGGATGATTCTTAACAGGTCCCAATGATTCATGTTGGAACCTCTGTTTAAAGCACTCTCCACATCCCTGCCTGTTGTGGCAGCGAATTCCATAGCTTCATTATGCGCTGAATGAAGAAGGACACCATTTTATCTGACCTGCATCTTCCAACATTCACCACAATAAATACAGTAAATGCAAACCCAACGTAAAAGAACAGTATATCTCTGAATAAGAGATGCTTGGGCAAACTAGTTTCTACACCTTCTTCATGAGCTTCCCAGGGTCATCTGGCTGCCCATGGGTAGAATCAAGAGTTTCTAGATGTGATGGAGTTGTAATCCAGCAAAGTGACCCATTGAATTTGCTGGGCCCTGCCAAGGGGAAACTGGGATTTATCTTTTCCAAGGGAAAGAAAGTAAGCTGTGAAATTCTGGCAGGGGAGTACTGTTGCACTGCAAGAAATGCAAAAAAAAAAAAGTGGGGGGGGGGGGGAGGTGCTTTCAGCTGGTTTTCCTTCCTTGGCTTTTTCATGCGTTAATGGTGACTGGCACTTATAACAGAAGAACATGGCATTAACTCATGTACCTTAATGAAGGGGCTGATCAAATGGTAATCCTGGTAGGGTTTTGTTTTTGTTTTTACTCAAGCTGCCGCTGTAGGTTTCTTCCAGAGATGGAATGTAACGATCGCATAATTCATGTAGGTGTTCATTCCCCCCCCCCCCATTTCCTCCCTTGTTACTCTGGTGTGGTCTTAATTGGTTTGGAAATGAGGAGAGCGGGAATGCTGCCCTGGCAATGATCCCGGATCGGGGAAGAAGGTTTGGGAGGATGTCAAAGAGATTTCCCTTCCCCACCTCCGTGGAAACCACAGCTCTGCTCAGTTTTGGACGGGCTTTTCTGCCTTGGGATGGCTTGGGAGGGAACCCGGCATTTCCATGAAGGAAATCGCAACTGCTTGGCTGGATCTGACTACAGATCCACCTGGCCCTCCATTATTTCTCTGACAGTGGACAGTCACAGGGACATAGGAAGCTGCCTTATACTGAATCAGACCATTGGTCCACATTGCTCAGTGTCATCTACACCAGGGGTCAGCAAACC